GAGATGAGGTCTCGCCAAGTTGCCCAGGCGGGTCTCGAACCCACAGGCTCAGGGAATTCACTCACCTCGGCCTCCCAAAGTGCTGGGATTACAGGCTGAGCCACCAAGCCCGACCTACATGAAATAATATTAAATATTGTTTTGGTCATTTAGGGTTTAGAGTTTTGTTTTGAGCAATTGGAAGTGTCCTGGTCAATTTAGTTGAATTAGGGAATTTTAGTAGATACAACTCTCTAGCCTTTTATCTTTCTTGGACTGAGACATGGTTCATGGAGAGAAAAAACAGTGAAAATTCTAATAACAAATCTTGCAATGGGCTTAGAATCCTTCTCCTCTTTGAACAGCCAGGGACAATCAAGAGACCACTCCCAGGGGCAACCCTAACTCACAGGTAAATGGGTACTTGCTAGGTCAGTATTGGCATCATTAGCTAGTGTGCTTTAGCCATGACTTAAGACTTGCAGGCTGGGCGTGGTGGTGCACGCCTACTGGGGAAGCTGAGGCAGAAGGATTGCTTGAACTCAGGGGTCTGAGGCTGCAGTGAGCTATGAGTTTACCACTGCACTCCAGCCTGGGTGCCAGAGGGAGACCCTGTCTCTAAAAAAATTTTATTTGAGGCCAGGAAGTCAAGAGTAGCCTGGGCAACATAGTGAGACCCAAATTCTAAAATTAACCAGGCATGGTGACATGTGCTTGTAGTCCCAGCTACTCAGGCTGAGACAGGAATCTTTAAAAAAAAAAAAGCTGGGCTCGGTGGCTCAGCCTGTAATCCTGCGCCTTTGGGAGGCTGAGGTGAGTGGATTGCCTGAGCCCGCGGGTTCAAGACCCGCCTGGGCAGCAAGACCTCATCTCTACAATAAATTAAAAAATCAGTTGGGCGTGGTAGTATGCGCCTGTAATTCCAGCTACTCGGAAAGCTGAGGCGGAAGGATCGCCGGAGCCCAGCAGGTGGAGGCTGTGGTGGCCGGGAGCGGCCACTGAGCTCCAGTCTGGGCGAAGGAGTGAAACTCCAACTCAAAAAAAAAAAAAAAAAAGACATGCAAGCTAAGTGAAAGGGCAAAGACTTTGGAGTTCTGACCTGCATTCAAATTTTATTTCTGTAATTATTGCTTTTAGGCATCTAGTAAATCGTTCAGCCTCCTTAACCCTTAATTTCTAATCTGTAGAGAGGTTATTTATGCATTCATTTATTCCCTGAATGTTTTTGAGTACGTTTCATGTGACAGTGTCCTAGACACCAGGATATATCAGTGAAAATCCAGTGAGTCTTGGGGGAAAACATGCATTCAATACATGCTGATTTCCTTCCTTTCCATTCAAGTCAGGGAGTTATAACCTCCTAAGAAGACGGGAAGCCAGGTCTGGGAAAGTCCAACCAGGCAGCTGTCACTCCCACGGGCCCAATGCTCCAGCCGGTGGCAGAGGAGTGGCCCCCTGGGTCTGTAGACCTGTGCACCAGGTACATCTGTACCTGAGGGATGGGGGTGGGTCAACATGGGAACTTAAGGCACAAGGAGTTCTGCCACTGCCACCATAGTTCCAAGGCATGGGGATGGGGGTAAAGAGGGAAGGGGAAATGGGGATGGCACGTGCCAGGACCTGGATCTCCCCACCAGGGCCAAGACCCCTGCTGGGAAGGTTGGCAGCTGCAGTGATGGGACAGTGAGACTGAGAACCCACCCTCCGGAGGCAGTGGTTGTGAGTCCAGGTTTCAAGACTCCCTACAGTCTCCATCATCCCTTCAGACTTCACTTACAAAAGCACAGATTCAAAGATAAAATCATGAAGCATGTCAGGGGCAGCCACCACAGAGCGTTAAACCTCAAGCATGGGCCTTATGCAACTCGCTCACCCGTAAAGAGGACCCTAACTTGGGGTTATAATTATAGGCTCTCAGAAAATTCTTGTTTTGTTGTTTTTTTTTTTTTGAGTTGGAGTCTCACTCTGTCGCCCAGGCTGGAGTGCAGTGGCCACTCCCGGCCACCACAGCCTCGACCTGCTGGGATCCGACGATCCTTCCACCTCAGCCTTCCGAGTAGCTGGAACTACAGGTGCGCGCTACCACGCCCAGATTTGTTGCAAAGATGAGGTCTCGCCAAGTTGCCCAGGCGGGTCTCGAACCCGTGGGCTTAGGCAATCCACTCACCTTGGCCTCCCAAAGTGCTGGGATTACAGGCTGAGCCACCGAGCCCAGCCTAGAAAATGCTTGTTAATTAACTTAAGTCTCTCAGTGAATGTAAAGATCTTTGCAGATGTGTATTAGTTTTGCTGGAGTAAGGGAGTGCTTCCCCAAATGTGGTTCTTCTGTCTGTCCCCTTCCATTAAAATGCAGATCTCTGGACCCCACCCCAGATCTCCTTAATCAAAACCCAAGGGAGTGAGGCCTGGGAATTTCACTTTTGGTTTGTTTTTTTTATTTGAGTTGGAGTCTCACTCGGTCGCGCAGACTGGAGTGCAGTGGCCGCTCCCGGCCACCGCAGCCTTGACCTGCTGGGCT